CTCTCTCTCTCTCTCTCTCTCTCTCTCTCTCTCTCTCTCTCTCTCTCTCTCTCTCTCACCCTCTTTTTCTCTGTCTGTCTTCCTTTCACTCGAGACTTTTATACACGCAGAGGGAACGAGAGACCGTGCAGTCACTCGATCGAATCGTTTCTATTGATCCAAGGCGTACTCAACCGCCGTTAAATTATCCTGAACCGAAGGTTTCCTAGGTTAACTACGTGGGATTCGTGAGGGACGTTTAATTAGTCACGGGAGCAATTAGTCAAGTCTTACGTAGCATTTAGTGCCATCCGTCAGCTTGAGTACACACATGATTTTCTTGCGCAATGAAACCTTCAACAGTCTCAAGAAAATTTAATTCAATTTTTCATCCTCTGAAAACCCCATGTCTCTGTAATAAAGAAAATCAATCGAAAAAAAGCTACACGCGTTACCACAAACAAAAGTATAATCACCACGAGAGTACGAAGAGAAAAAAAGAAACGATTTTCTTTAAGCAAAATTAAATAAAGCATCATTTCCTTCTCGCCTGTATGTAATACACAGGTAGATTAGTCCAGGAATATAAAACCGGCTGTCCTTTGTCTTCTTAGGTGCTCCAAGAGCCGGCCCTCTTTTTTATATCGTGAAATTAGTTGCCACGGTTTCCGGTCCCGGTTCTTGCGTCCTGCGTCCTACGTCCATTGCCGTCATTAACCTCCCCGAAGACAAGATGATCGTACGATCCTCAATTTCCAAGGCAAGTCGGGTTTCAGTGAAGCCACAGAGAAAACTATAAATTACAAGGACAAGGCCACAGTGTAATAGACAATAAATAAAATAAATTAATTAAAATAAAAACACTTGCCTTACTTACCTCATAAGTACAATATATATCTATGCTCCAAGAAGTCACGACAGCGACCTAAGCAAACATTAAAAATCATCAAGCTACTTTAACGTTCTTTTCCGGAGCCGAACGTGCCAAGGCAATTGTACTTTTTTCTCTTCTTCGATTCTTCTTATTGCTAAGCGTACGCTTCTGTTACGTCCTGATACGCGTATCTAGAACGTGTATTTATTCAAAAGCCATCCATAAAGTGCACGTACTCCTTTAAGTACATTCATTGGAATGCTAGCTCGACCAGCCGTTCCTAGAAATCTAAGTAACACATAAACGCCATAATGCATATGGAAATATAATATAGTTTTCAAAACACTGTCGCCTCGACATTTACATACCCATTGGCTATCTGATAACAATAGGAAACTAACGAGGAAAGGGGAGAGGCCCGAAGACGTTAATTACAAAGTAGCCACAGGAGTGATAAACAGTTTGCGATGAGAACTGACGGCCATCCTCATTCGCCCTGTCAACGTAATGGCGCCGAGATCCGTGAAATTTACAAATGAAATTGCATTTGCAAGTAGCCACAGCTAATTGCGCCCGAACGCACATTACGGCTGTTCCTAACGACATGTTTTACGGTACAAAACGCTGCGACACCCAGAAGATCTTTTGTATTCATTTCTTAGTCTCTGTCTCTCTCTCTTTTCTTATTCTGAAATATATCACACGGTCGTCACATTGAAACTACTATAAAGTACCATTTGATTGGGCATAAACGACAATTACTCACGTGTGCGATACTTGACGCCAGGATATCATCCCATAAGGCAAACGGTCGCCGATTATATATCCGCCATTAGGTGTACGTTCAATTTATATGGGAAAAACTTATGCTAGCAGCTCGTTACCGCCTTTCAACAGTCCCAATGGGTCTCACGTGTGCCCATCAGTGAAGTAATACTTAATACCTCGTGTACCGGGTGTCTATATCCATATGCACGTTCTGAAAAAAAAGGAGTACTTCCGGTTAGAAAATAAGGAAGTCAGGGTAAAACTGTATTGCTGGGACCTATATGACGCACGTGCGCCCATAACTAAGGTGCGTCAATTAGTCCTGAGCAACGTACGTATACGTACCTCATACAGATGCGTGGGCCAGATGTCGTCTTGCAAGGTATAGGGCCCAAGTGTAGGACCCAGGTGTTTTTACTGCATTCGAACGCTGTCGCCAAAAGGTACCTACGTACGAAATGACTGATCATAAAAATTGTTTAGCTTCGCAATCGTACCTGAGAGAACTCGTGCGATTGTAGCCATACGTTCCTTATGGCGGTACCACAACGCTGCCAGTGACGTCACGTACCTGTTAATAGCCATTATGGATCGGATCTGTAGTCGGCCTCATAATTACGGGTTTCGATACATTGCTCGGTGGCCGGTGCACCCGAGCACGCCCTCTGTTCTCCTTCATTAAGGCCCACGTAGACGGTAGCCGCCTGTTACATCGAGGTACTTTGACTTACTTCTATTTTCTTATCTCCCGCGTCTTCGAAGTTGCGTTCTGGCCTTTAGGTTTTCCTGGAAGCAAAAGAAAAAAAAAGATTTTTTTTATACGATTTATAAAAATAATCACTGGGACCGACGATTATCTACCGGCGAAGTTCATTTAAATTATTCGACTGGTTATTCGCATTTACACTTATGATAATCTGCACGGGTCTGTGCAATTCCATTGTGATACGTATATGTGTTTAGGAGCCTAAGAAATGGCGGCTGACTATTAATAAGAAAGCTCCGCGTATAGTATCGGCGTTTTCCAACAGATCGGATCGATTACCCATCCCGAGCGTGCATCATCGTGCTGGCTATGCTTGGGCCTTATGGACCGCGGACTATCATTTGTTAAGCTGGACAACTTAGCCCAGTCATTACGAGCAATCACACTTGATTATTTTTGTCTACAGAGTTATACATGTGGCTGGGCCCGATGAATATGGGCCTTGCCAAATCATCAGTTCGAAAAACTCGGGGTCCCGGTATGGGGATCGACGTAACTGGCTCAGGCTGGATCTCTCGCGGACGGAACCTAAATGGGACCTAAGGCCCATTTATGTGATTACCACGCGAGGCTCTAATGCCGGAGATTCGCACACGTGCCTACTCGATATATATATATAAATTCACATAAATATATACGGACCCAAACCACTTTCAGAATTAGATATCGAAATTCGTGGGCCCAAATCAGATACCTTACACTGCCTGCATCGTATACTGATATTTGTATCGTATCCTACTCGAATACGTTTCTGTATTATCGCAATTGTTAAAAAACCTATTTTCTTTTTAGTTCCCATAATTTATTGCCGTACTACTTTACTTTATGTATACTTTTGCGCAATGTCCCTGGAAACGACATATTTCGAGCTGTACAGCCAGGACAAGACGAACGTCCCCTTATCGCCTCAAGAAATATAATTAGCGTTATCAATTCGGATATACTTAATGTTGCGTACCTACTTTGCATGATAAGGCCATATACTATCTCTCAACCCGTATCCCAATTAGCTTGACGTTCTTGTAAAAATAAAAAGGAAATGAACAAATGAATGCAACTATATATACTATATATATGTATACACACAGATAATATATTTCTTGCGAATAGCAAAGTTCATGAAAACCATTTCTTATATTTTTTCTAATATCTAATATCCTTACAACCTAGATAATAAGAACTGCTGTTAACTAATCGACGGGAAAGGCAATAGAGCTTATTAAAAAAAAATTACAATAAACTACTAAGTATTATTAGAATAGCTACCGACAGGCAGACAACTGTTTAGCAGTTTAGAGGGTTCGCTTGGAAGCTTTCTAATTACCAGCCGTAACGTTGCACCATTACAGTCACGGTGCAAAGTCGTACCGTCTATACTTATATACATATGATGTCAAATAGCAGCTTCCAGTAACGTAGGTTAGGAGGCTACACGGATAGTTCAATATAGCTTGGCTAACGAGCTAATGGACAGGTTGTAAAACAAGATGCTATTTAATAGTGGTTCGTTTCAAAGTCGGTACAGCAGCCAGTAGGTAAAACAGTCGCGTCGGCAACCATTATTGGAAGCTGTGAGCTTCTGCCACGTGTTTCCATTATTGAATTTTTTTTTTCATTTTTTTTATTCTACAAAATTTGACTGCTTTTTTTGCTGGCTGGTTGGTAGACTGTGGTGGTATCGTTTCAAAAAAAAAAAAAAAAAAAAAAAAAAAAAAA